CCATAACAACAAGTGACCATAATAGTCTTTTGAAACAAAGGCATAGTTGCTGTTTCCTGGAACAGGCAATACAGAACCATTTGTTGTTAATGTTACAGATGGGGCAGAGCCCAAGTCTTGTGAGGCAGACATTAGTTATAAACAGGAATATGCTTAGTTTTCTTTCCTATAAGTTGGCTTTTAAGCCTAAGATCGAGACAGGCTGGTTCTTCACTGCCTGCTTTAGGTAGTCCTCATGGCTTTATGCAGTCAGGCCTCTCAGACACCATCTTCTAGTAGTTGGGTGTGGTTAGATGTAGTATTACTAGTATCAGTGACTAGAAGAGTTGAGGCACCCTAAGCCAAACTTTTGTCTGACCCAGGACAATGGATTTTTATAGGTGTGCCTTATTGTGGTGTTTCGATGCCTGTGAATTACCAAATGTACTTAACAGGTTTGTTGGTTTTGTTTTGAGTAATTATCCTTTGAATGGTGTTGTCTGGGGTTGCTGGTTGTTTATTCTGACATCCAGCGGGCGTAATTGCTTTGACTTGCACACATTAATTACTGTAGTCACTGGAAGCTGTGGGAGAGGCACTTGCTGCCACCTACTCCATGATTACATCTTCCCTGAGCTTTGAAAGGAAACTGCAGGGTGGCCAGCAGGCAGATCAGGGCTGGCAGTAGATGAAAGATGGTCTGGACTCCTTCAAACGATGCTATGGACTTCTTTCCCCCTCTTTGGCTGCTTCCCAGTCCTTCCAGTCCTGACCACTGTCATTTCTTGGCTGGATGACTGTGGTGCTTGCCTCCTAGAAGGTCAGCTGGCCTCTGCTGTGTTCATATCCACTCTTCCTCACATACAGTCTGTTTCCCCTTCACACTGTTTCTTGGCTGCTCCCAGTCCTTGCCCTGGCTCAGAACCCTTCATGACTCATGCGTGGCTCCAGTCTCTTTAGCTTCCTGGGGCTTTCCAAGTTCTTCCCTCTGGTCTAGCCTTAAGTTTGGCAGCTTGCCTAGAACGGTTCGAAATGCAGGCTTCCAGGCCCTGCTCCACTGCTCTGAATCAAATCTGCATTTTGACAGGCCTGCAGGTGGCTTATGTGCATCCATTCCTGCATCCTGATTCTGGAAGTGGTATGTCTTCACACTACTTCAGGTTTGTGAACCCGATAAAGCATTCTGCCACCCCTCCTCCTTCTCATCCCCCTCTCATTTTTATAGGGTGCAGTGTGGTCTGGAACTCAGCTACCTATTTTCTGGCCTTAAGGCCACAGCTCCTTTGTGAATGCCACTTCTGTGAGGATGGTGACCCATTGTGTCATGTACCCCTACACTAATGGCTATGAACAAGTCTTGGCCCTGGTTGAAGTTCAGAGAAGTGGTTGTTGGAGAATTGTGTATGCTGCACCAATCCTCAGAGTTCCTTGATGTTCTTCTGTTATTTAGGGAAGCAAAGTGGGTCACAGAGAGGGCATCACGTGTGCTCACTTAGCTTGATGTGAGTTACTGGACTCTGACCTACTCTTTGACCAAGGGTGGAGAATCAGAGAAAGCTAAGTTATTTTACCTCTGAAATTCTTACCTCTGTTTCCTATACTCTGTTTCTAGACATCAACATCAGGACTAAAAATGCCTCATAGGATTGCCATGAGGATCAAGTGAACTCATGTACATAAAGTTATGTGATCAGCTTAAATTTAGCTAATTAAGCTGACACTGTAGCCTAGTGCTTAGTGGTGACATGCTTGCTGTCATCTGTGGCCCTGTGTTCATTCTAAATACTGCTCTCCCCAATTCCTCATAGTTTTAGAGGGTCAGAGGCCTGGGCGTGACTTAACTGTCTCTGGCCCAGGCTTTCATGAGGTTAGCTAGAGTGTTGGGTGGAGCTCTAGTCACTCATGGCTTGATGAGGCTACAAGGTGCTCTGCCAGGCTCATTCACAAAACTGCCTGGTGGCCTCTTGCTCTGTTGTGTGACTTCTCATAGGCTGGCTGGGATTAAGAGATGGGACCTTCCAGAGAAAGAGACTGTTAACAGTCTTCCTGTAACTGATCTCAGAAGTGACACAATACACTTCTGCCACTAGAGGGAGTGAAGAAATCCAGTTGACCCCCAGGAAGCAAATATTGTAGCTGTTAATAGGGTGAGAAATTTATGAACCACTTAAAATATCACTTGATATCCAGTGAGCATCATGTAACAGTTGGGGTAAAGCCTAAGAGCTGGTAAGAATAGGGGGCTGAGATTTGAGTCCCAGGATGACTTGCATTAATGCTCTTCAACTCCACTGATAGGTGTCAAGTATTAATATGTTTTCATAATATGGATTTATGTAACGAGCAGAATGATACATTCTAAGTGACTTCTCTGATACAATTTAAGACCTTCCTTGTGGCCAGCAAGACACACAAGGGGGTAGCTAGTGTCAATGTGTGCCCTCACATGTCCACAAACACACAAGTAAACAATTAAATGTTATAAAGAATTTTAAAATCACCTAGTTTTTTTTTTATTTTTGTAAACTAGTTGTCTAAACTATGGTAATTGTTTTTCTGGGTCGAGAACCCTTGGGGTTGCATGAACCTTTCACAGGGGCTGCATATCATATATTTACATCATAATTCATAACACTTGTAAAATTACAATTATGAAATAGCAAAGAAAATAATTTTATGGTTGGGGGGTCACCACAACACAGCATTAGGAAGGTTGAGAACCACTGCCCTAGATGTTAATTTCCACTACCTCTCATAGAGCCAGGCCCGTGGAGAACATCAGTGACCTAAACTATTGCAGTGGACAAGAACTCCTTTGATTGCCACTATCCCTGAATCCCCAGTACCCACTTGGCTTCTTTTACTCGCACAGCATATTTGGCTGCTGGGGTCACTGAAATCTCTGTTCCTTTTCAGATATACTATTAGCTGGGTATATGGTTCCAGTACTCAGGAGACTAAGGCTCAGGGCTCTCCTCATGGACAAGGCCAGTTATAATAATGAACATGATCTAATCATGCACTGGTTCATGGTAGGTATCTTATTGTGGTAGCATGCACCCTGTGGCTATGTAAGATGTACCCACCGGAGAAAACTGGGGCAACTCTTGTTCTCTTCTAACTTTCTGCAAATCTTTAGCGATTTTAAAGTAAAAATGTAAAACAATACCTAGGTTTGGTTGTTCTAGTGGTCAGTAACCAGTGCCTCCTGGCCAGCACACTAGGCCTTTATCCTTTGCAAGAAACTGTGAGCACATTCTCACTTGAGATTTTTCATGTCCCAGAGATGTGGAAGCATTAATTTCCCACCAGCGCAGATCCAGCTGGGTTAAAGTGTCAGGTGCCAAAGATGTCCATCCAGTGAGCTGATAGGCTCACCATGGCAATTCCTAAGTACCTGATGCTTCCAGAATTTGACCCTGATGCTCTCTCTCCCCAAATTTACTGTATTTATAGACTGCATTGTAGTGTGGGGCACTAGAAACAGACACAGAAGCAATGCCAGGTGTCACAGCTAAGCAACTGTGTAGTACTACACTAAGGAATATATTTCTGTCTGTTAATAGACTGAATTAGGGCTTGCTGTGGTATAGTTAAAGAAAACAACTTGGCTGCAGAAAGTGTACAATGTGGTCCTGCTCTGTACCCTGGACTCGGCAGGGGTGTGTGTGGCTTGTAGTAGTTAGTGTGCATGCTATAGGGTATGGCAGTGCACACTAGGTTTGCTGCTGATTCCTGGGGTGGAGAGCTGGAGAAGACTAAAAGAAATGTTATGAGAACGTGACAGGTTATTTTTTCCATTAAAACATTCTTGTTTGCAATGCTCTAAGTATGACAGTGTAGAGAGGAGACTGTGAATTGATTTTATTTCAAGGTGTTGGGTTTTCTGCTAATTTCCCCTTCATAAATGTGTTCTAATTGTTGGAATATTTTGCAATGAGTCTTTATTTGTATAGTCTTAGAAGAAACTTGGTTTTGAGCTCTTTTTATTGCAAAGACAGAACATTTCAGTGTGTTTAACAACACACCGAAGACCTGGGGTGGGTAGTGAAAGGCAGAAATAGAATGATGACAAGGAGCCTCTTTGGGTGTAGCTGGTGAGAGACTAAATATCAGTCTCTAGAAAGACACAGGAAAATCTCTCTTGGGGACAGAGACACCTGGGTTTTACTGGTGTCCTTGACCATGTGACTTGTTCAGAGACATTATCCGTCTACCTTCTATCTTACTGGCCTGGGACAAAACGACAGGTTCTCTACAAATTGTAAGTTTTCTGCAAATGATGGATGGATGAATGTGCACTCATACATGTGATTCAGTGAACTTTTATGGGTCCAAGCTATGTGGTGGACATAGTGGATGGCTAAATGATTGCATGTGTGATTTGGTGAGCTGCTATGTCCAAGGTCCAAACTACATGATGAAATACCATGAAATGTCAGTTTCTTTTCCTGGAACCTTATGTCACATGATTAGTCAGTGTACCAGAGTAATGGATTTGGGAGGTGGGATGTGGTTGTAGCTCAGTGTCCATTTTCCATTGTATGACTTATGATCTTTTGTGGGGTTGGGGATGGATTTGGTCAATTGTTCCCTTCCTGGTATCCCAGTTTCCTTATCTACAAAGCAGGAGTTGTGCTAGTTCCTGCATGAGGCAAGTCGTGTAAGTCACAGTGGTTGCTCCAGGTGAACTGTGTTTAGTGTGTACCTCTCTCATTGAAGAAAATAACCCAGAATGGCACCGGCAGGTTGGTAGGTTCACACAGCACATGTCTGCATTCCAAGTCTGGAGGTACAGAAACCAGTTGGCACTCACCAACATTCCAAAAGGAAAGTTCCAGAAGGTGTTCCAGAAGTATGTCCTTGGTTACAATTCTTTTCAGTGCTTATCTGTGATACAGGATAGCACATTAGCATTTGTAAATTGTGTGCTTTTCCTCACACACATTCCCTCCCCTGCTTAGGGTGGAAATTGTTAGTTTTTAAATTTGTTTTTTTTTTAAACATTCTTATACCTGCAGAGAAAACGAGGTGCTCAAAGTCCAGCTGAAGAAATATGTAGGAGCTGTCCAGATGCTGAAAAGAGAAGGTCAAACAGCTGAAGGTGAGGTGGAGCTGAGCCCACGGGGGAGGGGCTGCTTTTCCACGGGCAGGTGCAGGAGTGGATTAATATGTACTCCAGTGGAGTAGAGAAATGGTATGGTGGGGTTCCAGAATGAACCATGTTCATTTTTGCTAATTGAAAACTAAGCCTCACTAGACTTAGCAACAGTTGTATGCTTTGGGTACTTATGGACTTTAGGTCTAGAATATTGTGAGCCTTGTGGAATGGTTGGTTCACATGAGACCATGGGTGTACACAGCAGAGAATAGGCAGGGTGAAGAATCAGACCTCCCTGGACTTAGAGTCGCCAGGCTGTAATCCCAGTTTCTTTTTTTTTCTTTTTCAAAATATTTATTTTTTATGTATATAGAGTTCTGCCTGCATATACATAATACATGTAAGCCTGCACACCAGAAATGAGTACCAGATATCATTATAGATGGTTGTGAGCCAGCATGTGGCTGCTGGGAGTTGAGCTCAGAACCTCTGGAAGAGCAGCCAGTGCTCCTAACTTCTGGGCCAGCCCCATTTTGTAGTTTCTTAATCTCTGTTTCTCAGTTTTCTCATGTGTAAAATGGGATAGTTGGTAGCACCTGCTTTGTGAGGTGATATGTATAGGGATTAGGCTAGGTACTGGGTACTAAGGGTACAGCTTGGTGGAAAGGCATCCTGGCAGTTATACCTCACAACAAACCTCAAACATGAAAGGCACAAGAAGGTGGCTGCCTCTGCTTGGGCGAGAAGCAGCAGAGTCCTGGCAGAACACAGAGTTTATATAGGGTTTCTTGCTTGGGATGGGGTGGGGCTCTCCAGGGTTACCTGGGATTGGATGAGTTATTTGGCCAATCTTGGGGCAAGCTCATAGATTGGTGGGATTTTTTTACTTGTAGGGTGGGATTTGACCACTCTTCCACCTTGGAACTGGCACAGGCCCTTACAGCTCTTAGAAGGTCATTAAGGAAGTCTGGGGGCAGTCTGGCCACTGGAGCTCTTCAGGCCTTGAGAGTTTACAAAGTTTACAAAGGAGTATCTACTTATGGCAGGGACAGACTTCCCTGCTGCTTAAGTTGGTGTGACTAGCCAACTGGTAATGTTTGCCTGTTGGTGTTACTTAATATTTTAATTTTGACAGTTTTATGCATATGTGCAATGTGTTGGGATCATATCCATACTCGCCCCATCTCTTTCTCATTACTCCTGAAAACCCCTATTGTCCCAGCTAGTGCCCTCCTGTGTTATGGATCCATAGCATTATACATTTGGAGGCCAGAGGCCAACCTTTGTGGTATTCCTTGAGAGCTCTCCACTTTATTATTAGAGGCATAGCATCTCACTGAACCTGGAATTCACCAGTTGGCTAGACTGGATGGCTAGTGGGCTGCAGGGATCCATTTTCCTCCTCTTCCTCCTCCTCCCCCTCCGCATTGGGGTTTCAAGCATATATCATGGTGCCAGGTGTTTTTTTTTTTTTTTTTTGATTTTATGAGACAGGGTTTCTCTGTATTGTTTTGGAGGCTGTCGGTCCAGCCCGGCCTCGAACTCACAGAGATCCGCCTGCCTCTGCCTCCCGAATGCTGGGATTAAAGGCGTGCGCCACCACCGCCTGGCTGGTGCCAGGTGTTTTGACACAGATGCTGGGGATTGAACTCAGGTCCTCACGCTTGCTTGGCAAGCACTTTACCCAGGGCTCCATCTCCCCAGCCCATGGGCTTGCTTTTGATTTAGGAAGAACAGCACTGTGAAATGCATTTCTGAGTCAGAATTTTTAGAGCACTTCTCCCCAGATGCATGAGCAAAGGCTGTAGTGTGCAGATTGCAGAGAAAGTTCATTTAGCGAGATGCAGCCTGAGTGCCCTGAAGCAGAGCTGTGTGAGAGTCTTTTCAGCATGTACCTGTGATCCCCCATGCTGGACTGCAGTGAGCTGGCACATAGTCTACTGCCAAGTAGCAGCAGCTGCTTCCCAAGTTCTCCTCCTGTGCAGCCGTTTTAGACATACCATGTACCTAGGGACCCTCTCACGTTGCAGGGTTTTCAGGGCTGAGCTCAATACTGGGCACATACCAGCTGCTCTGTTGTTGGAGTCCTGTGATCCTCTCCTTTTAACACACAGTTAGCAAGGAGCACCAGTGGTATGCCTTGCACCATAGTCTAGGACTGAAACCCAAAGCTGGGGCCAAAGGTTTGTTAGTTCAAAGCTCACTGGAGCTGCATATTGACACAGTGTTCTGAGCCCCCAGCATTTTCCCTGATTTGGGCATTACAAATTGCACATGTGTAGGTACGCATTGATTACTCACGTGGTACTCTATGCATGTTGATGTGTTTGTTTTAAAATGTAGTTGTAAAAGGCAGTGCTTTCCATAGTTGGACAGCAGCTTTCTTTCCAAGCTCTTCACTGCCTGGGCCCTGGTGTCTGCAAGCAAGTTGGAGTCCCCTACACTGAGAGCCTGGAGGAAGGGGCACTTTGCCCATCTGATTCATGCTGTCCCTTGGCTTCTGGTGTCATGGATGGACACACCAATGCCTGAGTTTCCTGAGTTATAGGAGGGAACTGAGAATATGGTTTCATAACGTAAGCTTTTTAGTTGCAAGTATAAAGTATCTTTTTATCTTTGGCAGAACTGTGAAATCATCAGAGGGAAGAGACTGCAATCTTTTTAGCCCTAAGTGCTTTTGCAGTTGACAGCACTCTGAGAGCTGTCCCGAGACCTTCACCTTTATCCTTATATTCTTGCTATGGAAAAGTGCCTCCAGGTTTAAAAAATAAACAACATAAAATTCACTTTTAAAATACAATGTCAACAACCTTTAAACTTACAGTACAAATCAATTTTCCAATCTTCTCCTGTTTCTATGAGGAGGAAAGGTGGAGTAGAAGGCTTTGGTTGCTGTTGTGTTGAGAGTGAGGGTGGGCTGCTCTCTTGTGACCACTGCATTTCCTAGTCAGGATGCAGGTTTGTGAAAGTGTGTCTCCCCCTTTGCTTTTGGCTCTGGCTCTGGATATCACATTACCACCATACTCCCCAGGAGCCAGTTTGGCAACTAAGCATCCACGGTAATTCCTCTGGACATAATGCCAACTCCGTGGTTGAGGACCTGGGGTCCCTTCCTACTTTGCAAACAGTTCTATGTATGCCCAGAGAGCAGGGCTTGACTTTCATGCTTTTGGTTTCATCTCTGGCATATTGCTCAAGTCCTGAATCAAGATTTGTGGGGTGATTCTCTGTGAGGAAAGTGACCTGTGAGCATGAGGACCTGAGTTTGAAATTCCAGCTGTGGTGAGGTGCAAGGCAGAGACAGGGAATCCCTCAGTCTTATTAACCAGCCAGACTAGCTAATTTGGTGATCTCTAGGGCAGTGATATGGTTTGGGTCTAAGAATACCTAGAGAAATCCTTAGATAGATAAACCCTCAGCTAGGGTCTCCCTTGTGGCCTGGTCACTCCCCTGACAGCTCTGTACATACATAGAAACTAAAACCCGAAAGTGGGTGTATGACCTCTCTCTCTCTCTCTCTCTCTCTCTCTCTCTCTCTCTCTCTCTCTCTCTCTCTCTCTCTCTCTCTCTCTCTCTCTCTGAGTCAGGGTTCTGCAGTGATACAGACAGACTATGTGCATGTATAGGGGGTATTTTAGGAAATTGGCTCATGTGATTGTGGGAGTCCATCAGCTGTAAGGTGTCCTTCAGACTAGATACCTGGGAAGAGTTGATGTCACAGCTTGACTCTGAATCCTATGAATACTTCTTTTCCATGGACTTTCTCTTTTCTTTCATCTTAAGACCTTCGATTGGGTGAAACTTAGCCATTCTATACAGGCTGACAGAGACACTTAAAGTTGACATTTAGATTATCATTTGATCAAAAATCTACATACCATGTTCCAGTCATATTGCCAGCCACCAGCTTGTAGCTGGTGGTGGTGGTGCACACTTTTAATCCCAGCACTTGGGAGGTAGAGGCATGCAGATCTCTGAGTTTGAGTCCACCCAGGACACCCAGAGCTACACAGAGAAACCCTGTCTTACAAAAACAAAACAAAACAAGATTCCTGCTCATACCTACTTGGTCCAGCCCTTGCTCTCTTCCTCCGAGTTTGATCTCTCAGATGGCTACTAGATCATGAGTTGCATGGGACCCCAGCCTGGGTGTCACGTGCTGAACTCACTGAAGTGCTGATCTGGGCACACAGGCTTAGTCTTGGGTAGGCTGTTCTGCTGTGTCCCATTACTACTTAGCTTTATTCTGAGAAAAATCAGGAATGGGGGAGGACATTCTCCTTGGATAGCCTGAACTGGTTGTGTGCTGTCTGTCTAGTGGGAAACAGGGTAGGTGACCTCCTGGAGCAGACATCAGATCCTTAGGCTCACCTACTTCTTAGCATGCTGTTGTGAATAGACACGCTTGCTATGGGTGTTGGTGAGTATAGAGTAGCCATGCCCCCTTTCCCTCCCTCTATCCCAGAACACTTTTCTTCCTTGATAAAGAAATGCCACTGCCTGGGAAAGGAGCCTGGAGAAATCACAATCCTTGGGGAAGGGCAAGGCTTGCTGAGGGCTGTGGTTGAGTCTGCACTGGCTGCCTTTAATGGTTCTGTGTTCTTGCTGGAAGTTACTTCAGAGTTTCTGCTGTTCATTTGGGGGCTGAAGATGATGACAGTGATATTTTGGGCTTGAGTGCAGGGAACAAGTGATAGCACATATCAAATAGCAGCTAATTTTCATTAAAAATTGGTTGGTGATGTTTGAAGATTGAAGTTGAGGAGGGTCAAGGCGAATTATCAGACACCTGTCAATTAGTTTCTGAAAGGTGAGTGATTACAGTGATAATTGTATAGTGAACATCTCTGAAAGCTTTGTGGTCATTATCCTGATAAAGTGGTATCTGGGTGAGGAAATAGCTTCCTGTCTTGTAAACAAAACCCTGGAAAGTGGTTCTAGTGCCTGCCTGAAGTGTTGAAGTCATTGCAGCTGCCATGAATCAGAGAATGTGTGCTCACATG